TTACAGAGTAGAATAATCATGGCTGATAGTAATACATGCAAATGTAAAAAAAAAATTGGAGTTGGGATAACCTCCAAAACCAAAGCCGATACCTTTTTAAAAGGTCATTATCATCAAATGTTTCTAAAATGTTTACATTCAGAGGCAGATTGCTGGCAACAGCCATTTTAGCATAGTTTGTGGTTTGATCTTAGTAACTTAAGAGTCTTTAAGAGAACCTTTCACAGATTTAGGAGCTAGTTTTAGAGCTAAAACGCTTTGTGAAATACTCTTAGAGCAAAAATTTAGCTTTTTTTTCCGTTTACTCTTTAATCCTTGAGAATAAGAATTATATTGTTTGTTTGATGCTAATTATATATTAAGTCATATCAGATATGTATTTTTATTATAGAAATACATTATAGAAAATGCCGATCCATGTGTGAGATAATATAAAATGTAATAAATATATATAATATAGTAAATTAAACATTACCTTGTCATAATAGTGTTTTATAATTTATAATAATTTATAAAAGTTAGATACAATACAGTTATATATAACTATCTGTCACGCCCACTGAGGCTCGTCAGTAGATCATGCGCCGATCATGCATGTGCTGAACTGAACTAACCCTGGAACATAACCTGCTCCGGAGCAGGTTATCTTCAGAGAGCAAGTTGCTATGGTTACTTACATACCCTGAAAGTTAACTCCGATTTTGGAACCGAAAGCCGAGGTTATCCGCTCGCTTATCCTCAAACATACCTGGGTATGTCACATAACCTGCTTTTTGGACTACCCCCCTGGAAGGCCACTGTCCTGCAGTGTTTAGCTCCAACCCTAATCAAACACACCTGAACAAGCTAATCAATGTCTTCAAGATTAGAAATCTACACGCAGGTGTGTTTGATTAGGGCTGGAGCTAAACTCTGCAGGACAGTGGCCCTCCAGGACCGAAGTTGCCCAGCCCTGCTTTAAACCCACATCTCTGTGCTGGCCTGTACTGTATGTTCTAGCAAATTTTGGTGCAGTGTGTTTCAGCAGTTCTCCTCAGGATGAATCACTTGTGTAGTCCTCATTTGTAAGTCACTTTGAATAAAAGAGTCTGTTAAATGAATACATGTAAAATGTAAATGCAATGCAAATGTGTACAGTTAATTGTGCATGTGTGTAGGCAGAGTGTTTGTTTTATTCTGCTTCTCTTGTTATCCGCTTTGATTATGGTTAAACAGGACAGAATCTTTCTGTTGTGATGACCATGTAATGAATTATTACGCTGTACCCACACATCTATATGATTCACAGCAAAATACTGACAGCCTAAATATAGCTGTACCTCAGGCCTGCTATATCAAATGTTTTATTTTGCACTGAATGGGATCTCCTCTGTGGGGTCAGGGCATACCTTTGGCCAGCAGAAGAGCACAGCCAGTCCAATAGGCAAACCAACGGTAAGGATGTAAACCACCCACAGCCAGGGCCTCTCTTCCGCAGCCAGTGCCAACTGACTCAACACTCCAGGCTAAGACAGAAAAAGACAGTCTGAGTACGTCAAGCGAACTAAAGCCCAATGAGCAATAATGCCCAGAGCAAAACGTGGGTGAGAGGCAGTCAGGCAGAGGCATACCTCATTGGCATTAGCCACCAGTTTTTTGAGTCCCCAGCTGTCTGCTGCCCAGCGGTCCGCCACTTCCTTTTCCGAGGCAATGATGAAATTGTCAAAGTAAATGTCAGAAGTCATAGACCACAGCTCCAGACCCACAGCTCCGAATGACTCCATGCTAAACGGATGAAGATCCTCAAAGTAGTCAGGGTTTGCAATCTTCCGTGGACTCCACACACCCTTTAAACAAAGACACAAACTCATTGAATATCATTTTTTTGTGATACTTAAAGACCTTTGGCCAGTGTATCCAACTCATTAATTAAAAATTTGGCTAAAACAATGGCAGTTTACAACAAAGACAGGCCGAGTGTGACATTTGCTTGCACTGATTAAAATATGGGTGCTTTAGCAACATCTCCAGACTCCAGATGTCAATACCTGGTAGTTGGGGTTGTCTATGAGAGGAGCTTTCCATTTGCCCTTATACTGAGGATTATTGATCATGGGCGGCTTCCATTCACCACAGCCAGGAGCAGCTGAACATGCTGGATTTGGCACCTGAGGAGCCTCCCATTCTCCATCCATTTCTTCATCCCTGAGAGAGAGAGGGGGTGAAGAGAATATTACCGACAAGGTGCTATAAAAGGAGTAAAAATACAGTTCAAATAAAAGCATAAGGTATTACACAGTGTACTACAGATGATTGTCTACCAATTCTATCAAAGAAAGGGAGTCTAGACTGAAGTGTACAACATGATTCATGGAATAATTGCCTAATAATAATGTGTTTGGCATTGTACAAAATTTGCAGCACCCAAGATAACGGAGTTTCTCATCTGAGCTGACTCAGGGGTCTAATACAGGCACGTCAATGTCAAAATGATCGAGATGGCCAATCAAGTTCAATCAAATCAAAAGATTTTTATGTTCACAAAGGCCAAGCATGAATTCCAGCACAATGCTTTTATTTTAACTGTAAGAGTGTGAGGTAAACTGCAAGCATGTAGCTGTATCATATTTGACAGCTGTGTTACAATGGAAATGTTCAACGACCGATAGTAATATCCAGGGATGCAATCTACTTAACATCTGTCAAATTTCACTTGTGGTTCAGCGGATCACAAAACTCACGGTTTTTGAGTCACGGATCGGATTTATCAGCAAGAAAAAATACTTCTTTGATGCCACAGCAAAAACTACTAGCCTAACTAAGAAAGATCAAACATGATTAAAGACAAGTGAACAGCAAGTAAAAAAAATAAGAACAAATATACAAATTACAAGCATAGATAAATACAACAGAACAAAGTTACAAATAAAACAAGGTCCAGCAGTAGTATTCAGGCACAGGAATGTAATAATTAAGTGTGAATTAACACTGCATAGTGTTCTCTCTATAACTTAAACAAAGCTGTGTTTTGTTGTTTGATTAGCATTAATGACAGCAGCAGGTATTTATAGGCTGCTGTCCCTTTAAGACCTGATGCATGGATCCAATTCCGATTTTTTTTTTCTCAGTTGTTTTCATTCACATTATACATAATGGACTACGTTTACCAGAACAATTTTCGAGATGGGTAATTTGTCATAATTTTGTTTGTGTGTGTCTGTTCAAAAGCAAAGAGATGCGAAAGAGGATTCGGGAATCAGGAATAAATGTGTGCACATTGTAAATGTTAATATTATTCATATTATTATCATTTTGTGAAAATGCACTTCTAGAAAATGAAATGAACAAAACTCAAAGTTTCCATCCTCAGGGCTACACTAGGACATGGTAAACTGTGGCTTTGGCTCAAGTGCGTTTATAGGTTGTGGTTAGGACTAGGGCTGCACGATAAATCGCATGCGATATTTAATGCGCATCTTGTCAGAAAGCCGGTTCTGTAATCAGCGGTAAATCTCTATCACCTGCGTGCTTTCACATTGAGCAGCATTAACTACACAGAGCCGTTGTTCACTGACGAGCTGCGCAAAAAATCGCGCGAATATGAACGTGGTTTTGCGCAGCTCATCAGTGAACAACGACTCTGTGTAGTTAATGCTGCTCAATGTGAAAGCACGCAGGTGATAGAGATTTACCGCTGATTACAGAACCGGCTTTCTGACAAGATGCGCA